CTCACCGCAACCTCCGCCTCCTGGGTTCAGGCAATTCTCCTGCCCCAGCCTCCTGAGTAGCTGGGATTACAGACACGTGCCACCATGCCCAGCTAATGTTTTGTATTTTCAGTAGAGACGGGGTTTCACCGTGTTGACCAGGATGGTCTCGATCTCTTGACCTCGTGATCCACCCGCCTCGGCCTCCCAAAGTGCTGGGATTACAGGCTTGAGCCACCGCGCCCGGCCTTCTTTCTTTCTTTTGTTTGTTTTTTGAGATTTATTCACAAATATGAATCTATAGAAATAAGTTTAAGATGTTATTTAAGTGTACTTTGTTTATATGGGGGAATGGAATAAGATACACCTAAGTGTTAACAAAACTGGGTTTTTAACAGGAGGATGTCTTACTTCACTTGTTATACTTTCTGTCATTTTCAAAGTTTCCTGCAATTAACATGCAGTTTTTCCAATTAGGAGAAATATTTTAATTTATTTTTATTGTTTAATTAATTAACAAAAGTTAAATTAAAATATTTTTCCTAATTAGCTGGAGTGCAGTGATAAGATCAAAGCTCACTGCAACCTTGAACTCCTGGCTTAAATGATTCTCCTCAGCCTCTCAAAGTGCTAGGATTATAGGCATGAGCCACGGCACCCAGCCTATTATTTTAATTGAGGAAAATTATCTATAGTTATTGTGTACAGCATGTTTTGAAATAAGTGTACATTGTGGAATGGCTAAATCAAATGAGTTGACAGCTGCATAATCTCACATATTTATCTCTATCATTTTTTATAGTGAGAACATTTGAAAACTACTCAGCCATTTTCAAGAATACAATATGTTGTTATTAACTACAGTCAAAAAACGTTTTAAGACATTGAAACAAACCTAGATTTTCTGAGTGCCTTAACTCAGCATGACACCAAATTTACCTACATAAATTATATCTCACCATGTTACTAGAACATTGAGATGATCACCTAAATGTCTGAATTTCAGTCGTTCAGATATTTACTGAGTGGTCCATGTGAAGGCTCCTGTGTGAGATGCTGCAGATGGCCTGAAGGAGAAAAGGCCATTTGTACTTTCAAGAGCTCATTTGTACTTGGAAAATCAAGCCATTAATATGTGAAAAGTCAAAAAGCAGAAGAGATGCCACAGGTAAAGCATGATGCATTGTCAGAAGGAGTGGCATCACTAATACGTTATAATTCAGAGGAAAAAGAGATCCCCAAGCGACAGAATGCTCAGGGAAGAGTTGCTGAGAGGGAATTATTTGAAGGACAGCGCGATGGGTCATCGGATGGAAGGAGGGGAGAATAGCAATCCAGCTAAAGGTGTCTTGCCAACCTTGGCTGTAGGGGACAGCTTTAGTGGGACTGATTGTCTTTTAACAATTGTCTTTTAACGTTGGATTTATATTTGACCCCGTAAATAGCGTCATGTGGAAACAGCGGAGGATACTGCAAAGCAACCATACAAGTGAGTATAGGTAAATGGCTATGTGTAGAGACCCTGTAGCCAAATAGATTGTGTTTAGGATCTCAGCGCTGGCCTTCCTAGCTGTGAGTTGCTTTACTTCCCCGGCTTCAGGGTTATGTCTGTAAAATGGGGATGGCACCTGTTTTGTGGCAATTTCTTTTTTTTGAGTCAGGGTCTTCCTCTGTGACCCAGGCTGGTGTGTCCAGTGGTGCAAGCACAGCTCAGTACAGCCTGAACCTCCTGGGCTCAAGCAATCCTCCTGCCTCAGCCTCCTGAGCAGTTGGGACCATGCACACCACCATGTCTGGCTAGTTGTTAAATTTTGTAGAGACAGGGTCTTACCATGTTGCCCAGGCTGGTCTCGAACTCCTGGGTTCAAGCAAGCCTCCTGTCTCAGCCTCCCAAAGTGCTGGGATTACAGGTATGGGCCACCATGCCCGGCCTGTTTCATGTTTTTAATTCATACATGTCTTATGTTTACTGTACACACCAGTATCATAAAAAACATTTTGCATCAATTATCTTATTTAATCCTCAGAATAACAACCTTTGAGGTAGACACTATTGTTGTCCCTATTTTACATAGGAGAAAACCAGGTTCTAATCCCCTGTGGAGGGATCGAATTCAGACACAGGTGCCTTCACCACAGTGTGTTTAGTATTGAAAATGCTGGCCGAGTGTGATGGCTCACATCTGTAATCTGAGCAATTAGAAAGGCAGGGGTGGGAGGATGGCTTGAGCTCAGGAGTTTCAGACAAGCCTGGGCAACGTAGTGAGACCCCATTCTTCACAAAAAGATTTTTAAAAAAGGAAATGCTTGGTAGAGGGCCTGGCATATGTAGGTAACCAAGGGCTGATCCTTGGACCAGAAAATTCTACTCAAAATTATCTTAAATTTATAAACATATCCATTTTCATAAGGCCTGTAAGAACACTGGGCTCACTCATGATTTTGAGGTGGGAGCAACCCAATGTAGCAAACCATGGGGTCCTGGGACGTCCCTGGCCCTAAACAGTGTCTGTTCCTATGACTGTCAATAAGTCACTCACCAGGGAATAGAGAAGGCCAAAATGCCAGGCTGAGGGAAGGGAGGAATGGGGAAATGCCGAATACCATGGGAAGGGGATAGCAGAGGGTTACAGGATCGCCTTCGCCCTTGTATCAGAGAAATCTTTCCTGGATTCTCTTCGGTTCTGGTCACCATGTCAGGGGCCTTATCCCAGGTGGTTAGGAGGCTTGAGCTCGTCTGGAATATGGCGCAAGAGCCTAGATGAACATTCCAGCTCAACAACTTTATACATTCCTCGGGCACATCATTTCCTCTCCCTGAGCCTCAGCTCTCCTGTCTATGTAATGAGAGGGGTGGGCTAAATCAGTTTAGTTCTGACATTTTGTTATTGTAGAATTTTTCTCAAATGGACTATAAAGTGAGATTTAGATTCACCAGAAAGAGCAATCAAGTCTCAACCAGATAGGCCACTTCTCTAGTCGCACTTATTTCTAGGTGCAAGCACTGCCAATTTCTAGCAGGAAAGCAAGTCATCCAGAGTTTCTAATTCGTAATTTTGGGGAAAGCAGTTTTACAGGAAACTACTAGAGATGAATGCAATGTGGATGCAACTTAGTTCCAAGTCTAAATCAGCAAGAACACAAAAAATTGCAAGCTACTCAAGCAGTATTCATGGATTTATTCTGCTAGTTCCCACAAAGCTCCAGATGAATTCGAAGGGGTCAGATTATTCTGTTTCGTCGATTGGCCTACTAAATTTTAGGGAAACTAGGCACCTTCTACAGATGATGCACTTTGTTGGCTGGGACTGCATATATTACACTCCGCAATTCATAGCATAGTACTTAGAGACACTGCAGGGAATGGGGGAAAAATGTGTAACACTCTGTACACATAGCCATTAAATCAATTTGCATACAATAAATGTTGTTTAACCTTGAGGAAGTCACTTAATGTCTCAGAGCCTCAGTTTTCTCCTCCTTCAATTGGGCATTCAAATGTCTCTTTATTTGACTTATTTTCCAGTTGAAGAAACTGAGGCACCAAGGTGTCAAGGGACTTCACTGAATCAGTGAAAGAAAACTCTTTGGAGAACTTTAGCACAGAAGAGTTAAACCAGGCCTTTCTCCATCTCTCCAACCTGGGAGGGGCTCAGAATTATTAGGAGGGCTACACGAGGCCATGAAATCTTCTAGTACCATCCCTGCCTCCTTGTCAGAACTCAGGGCCAGTGCTGGCTTCATGGACTTTGAATCCGTGCAGCCTAGCAGGGCCCTGTGCTCACAAGGGCCCCACAATTGGCCTAATGCTTTGTGGCTGTAATCATAAATTCGTAATAATTTTTTAGTAATGGACCCCAGATTTTCATTTTGCGTTGGGTTCCACCAGTTATATAACAGATCCTACTCAAGGCATTAAACTGGGTAGAATTGCCAAAGCTCACAAAATAGGTCAGCACACAGAACGAGAAGCACAGTCAGCCAATCAACAAGTCTTCCTTGAGTGCCTGAAGCCCCCCTCCCAGCACTGCATCGTCTGAGAATTTCAGTAATGAAATTCTTTCAGAAGAATTTCTTTCACTGATTCAGTCAAGTTCCTTAACACCTTGGTGCCTCAGTTTCTTCAACTGGAAAATAAGGCTCTTGGTAGCATCTACGTCTTCAGGGTTGTGAGGATGAAATGAGCCAATCTGTGTAAAACTCTTTGAGTAGTCCCTGGAGATAGTAAGGTGTATATGAGGGTCAGCCGTTTCTGTTTTGTGCCGTTATTGGCTTTTCCTTATCCAGATGTTCAGATGACTTTTTTTTTGATGGTGCACATTCTCCAACCTCCATTCATAAAATTTTTAAACTTCCAGGCTGACTGTCTTCCCTTCACATAGTCCTTTGCTGCTCAGAACAAACCTCAGGGAAAACACTCCTGTGGGGTGTTTATAGGGGAGATATTCTCTGAGACCTGGTTCCCATTTGACTTAGAAATTCACAGCTGTTATTGGTGGAGCACTGTACTGGCACTAAACGTATACTGTCTGAATCCTTGCAGCAACCCTGTAAGGTGGGTGTTTTATGCCCATTTTACAGATAAGGAAACTGAAACTCACAAAAGTTTAGCAGAGTGAGGATTTGGAACCAGTTTTTGCTGGGCCCAAAGTTCACGTACCTTCTGGCCAGAGCCCCGATGGCTGCTGCCGCTGCTAGTGCAGACAGATCTCAGGTCTCAGGCACAAGAAATTCACGTCCATCAAGTGTAATCTTAGGCTCACTGTAAGCCGATTTCAAGTTGAATTCTGCACCTTGGAATCTCAGCACATAAACAGAGAATCCTCTCTAAAACTTCTACACATATATGTTCGCAAGCAAATGCACATTTCAAACTAATTTAAAATCCTGTCTTCACAAATAGTACTTACCCCAGGACTCTGAGCACAGTCTGATTCCAGTGTGTGTTTCAGCGATGTCCTAGCAGAAACATCTCCCCCACCTGTCTCCAGCCCCTACCCAGAAGCTTCTGTGTCACTGGAGGTCAGTCACAAGTGTTTCAACATTTCCAGCAAGGCGGGGGGACTGCCGCTCCGAAGATCGCAATCTAGCTCGTTGAATACGGCAGGGAGAAGCGAGAGATAATGCCTCCTGTGTCTTTTGGCCATGCTCTGCCCATCTCTCTGGTAGACAGTTTGTGTAGATGGAGAAGATTAGTAATCTCTTTCCCTCCCTGTGTGAACGCATTTAAATATCACAAATACACACGCAGGCAGGTAGAGTGGAAAAAGCAATAAAGGACGAACTAAGAGGCCTGGGATGAAGTCCCGGCTCTGGCACCAGTGTGCCACATGAGCTCAGACAATTTGCTTTCTCTTAAAGGGACTCATGTTCTTCCTCTATAAAATGAAGAAGTAGGTCTCTAGATATCAGCAAAGATCCCTTCCAACCTAGCTCATCTCTGAATCTGTATGTGATGTGGCCAAAGATTGAGTAGGCGACATAGGGCAATGGATAAGAATACATTTTTGAGGACAACATCTTTGTCATTAAGCATCAAATGAGGCCAACCAAAAATGGCTGTTACAGTTGGTATGATAACACCAGGAAGGGAAGGAAGGTTGATTTCAGGCTCTTTGTGAGGGCGGGGGGTCTAAAACCCCAAAATAGAAACTTGAGAGGAAAGAATGAGAGAAGGGTAATATGACCCCGATACAAAACAGACAAAGAAAACAGATTTGTAGGCCTCTACAGTGTCACTCCCTTGCTGTGAACCGTTACTCAAATTGCCTGCTGCACCAGGCAATTTGAGTAACAGCTTCTGAGTTAGATATCGTGAGGTTTCAATCCTGGCGCCACCGCTTGGTAGCTGGGTGACTTGGGAAAAGTTACTTAACCTTTCTGATTGTCAGCTTTTTCATCGTAAAATGGACTTAATAATAAATATCTGATGTTTTTTAGATCTCATTAAGGTTGTTTAAGGTTAAATAATGTAAATAAGTAGGCAAAGCACTTAACAGAATGTTTAGTAAACAAGAGATGGTAGCTATTCACATTTTTATTCTCTAAATGCAAGTCAGAAAGCCACCCCTCCGGCTGAGTCTCTTTCAGTGTTTTATGATCCCTGTGTGTATCACAGCTCACCCCGAAATTACGCCTGTAGCTGCAGTTTTCTTTCCTCTGCACAGTTCATGTTAAAAACTTGGAGCCCCTTAATCACTCAAGATTTGAGGAAAGCAGACGAACACTGGTAGCAATGTGGAGTGATTTCCTAACTGGGCTCTCCACCAGAAACAGGATTGGCTGCAAGAAACAGACCTCTCCGACACCAAACTAGGAAGGAAGAGGTGTTTTATTACGGCCCCGGGAGCGAGGCGACATGCTTTGTCTAACTGCCAAGCTCCCCTAACAAAGAGAAGCTCTGCCTTTATATAGGCTTACACTCTAGATATCACACGTGAAAGGATCTTGGGTTTACAGTTTTAGAAATTACATGTGAAAGGGTCTTGGTCAATGGAGGAGGAATGGGGTGGGGGTTTGATTTTGTTCAAGTTAAAACAATATCTTCTGGACAGATTCCCTCATACCACGCCTGCTATCTATAGGAAGGTGATTTAGGAGATGCCAGTCAGCCAGCCTTTTCTTCTATTGAAATGCAGTGTGGAAGTCAAGGGGGAGGTGATCCTAGATGCCTGGGTCTCCTACCTCACACCCACTCCAGGTTTGCCCCACCAGTGTCAATACGCACTTTGCTCTGCTCCTCACTCAGCCAAGGACACTGAGTAATCAATTGTAGCTATAGCAAACTGTGGGGATCATGCCAAGATGCTTGGCTTGCTATTTCTATTACTCATTCACAGGAACCCAGTGTAGACATGGCAGCACCCAATGTCATGTAACATTCATACAGCCCCAGCCTTCTGTGTGGACCACTCTCGGACCAGAACCTTCCATGATGCTACTCCAAGATTCACAAGATCATAGGGTTGTTAAAGATCTTTGAACACAACACATCTCAGCGTCATTTTAGAGATCCTCATTTAATTAGGGCCAATGATGGGGCATTTTTATCACGTGTCAGAGATAATGCTTCCTTTATTTAAGCAGCACTTTTGTGCACGCTCTTGCTAGGACTGCGTTGCAGCAATATGCTTTCATCTTTGTAAGACACATCAGAGGTTAGTAGAAAATCCACTTGACTTGAACTTCAATGGCCTAAGGATCTGGGGCATTTATCCTCTCTGGACTACATTTTTCTTATATCTGATTACAAGACATTTTGATTAGATCACTTCCAGCATCCTTTCTGCTTTAAAATCTCACGGTTTTGTGTATAACATGTCATCCGCAACTCTGCTTTAAATAGCAAAGTGAGAATTATTGAAGTCTGTGTCTTATTCTCCGTATCCCTACCAGCTGGGATTGTGCCCGTACCTAGTAGGTGTTCAATACATGCTTGTGACATGAATAAATGAGTGAATTGAGGTGCAGTGTTACATGTACACGGTGTGCATTGTGTCCACTCCCTGCTACATGCAAACACTTGCCAATGATAAGATGATTTGCTCAAAAAGACTCTTCAGCCTGTAGTTCTAGCCCTTTGGAAGGCCGAGGCAGACAGATGGCTTGAGCCCAGGAGTTTGAGAACAGCGTGGGCAACATATACAGAGACGAGGTTTCACTATGCTGTGTATACGTGTGTGTATATATAGAAAAAAGCCAGACGTGGTGGCATGTGCCTGTAGTCCCAGTTACTCGGGAGGCTGAGATGAAAAAATCGTTTGAGCCCGAGAGGCAGAGATTGCAGTGGGCCATGATCATGCCACTGCACTGCAGCCTGGGCGATAGAGTTAGACCGTATTTCGAAAAGAAGGCACTTTGCCTGCTCCTACTCAGGGGCCGCTGGGAATGGCTCATGCTGGTGCTTCCTACTGAGGTCTGGGTTCAGGGCTCCATCTGCCAAGCCCTGGGACTTGTGGCCCCCTGCTCTCTGCTTTGAGCTGACAGTCTTCTGCCCTGAGGGTAGGACGCTAGGGGAGATCAAACAGTGACAAGTGAAGTTATAACATCTGTAACATCAACAGGAAGCTATTTTTGATGGTTTATCACCCAGTGGAAAAGGAACCTCTGATAACACAGTTTCACCTCCTACCCCATGCCCTGGCCCACTTCGTAAGATAACAGCCTCCTTTCCCACCCTCCCCACTCTGTGCATAATGTCGCCTACATTTGTGGGACACAGAGCTTCACAGAAAAAACAGCTACTCTCTGTAGGAGAGCTATTTTCTCTATTTTGAAGCAGGGAATGTTGTGTCAACAGAATTGGAGATTTTTTCTTTCTTTTTTTGCCCAAGCCTCAGGCTCGCAAAATAACAGTAAGCCTGCACATGCAGCTTTCATACGAGGCGTCAGAAACAGGATTGGGGAATTTTTGACAAGGGAGGAAAAAACCCTACGGTCTATGCATCACTCTGGTACATTTTTGCATAATGCCTTGTCTGCATACTTGCATTTAAAAGAATAGTTTTCCACATTATAGGGAAGGATCATTTAAAACCCACCATTCTGGTTATGTCACCCTCTGCTCAGAATTCTCCAGTGGCTTCCCATTACAAACAGGATGAAACCCATGATCCTGAACGAGGTCTCTAAGGCTTGCCCTGCCCCCAGCCCCCGCCCCGCCATAACTGCAAGCCCTTTCAACTGCATTTCTTCCCCTTTCCTTTCTTTCCTGTCTTCACCCTCTACCAGGCTTTCTCCCACCTCAGGATGTCTGCAAATGTGGGTGCCTCTGCATCCACACAGTTTTCATAGCACTCGTAACGTCTGCTAAATACTTTGCCTTGCTGATATAGCCCTAAATTCCCAGCCATTCCTTTGGGTCTTCATTCAGTCGTTCCCAGTGTGGTAGTATTGGCGACTACACTGTGATGGATACCTTTTTACATAATAAGTTTTTGGTTTGTTTTCGGTTATTTCCTCAATTTAAAGTTCCAGGAGCAGACACCGAAGTTAAAGGAAACATGTCTTTGTGGCTCTTGCATCATATTGACCTTCTGCTTTCATTTCAAGTCCATTGGACTACACCACTAGCAGCATGTGAGTGTATCTATTTCACTACAACCTGGATAGCAGTGAATTATCATTTTTCAGTAATTATATAATATCTCCACTGGTTTTTAAATGTATTTTTTAAAATCTATTATTGGCCAGGCACAGTGGCTCATGCCTATAATCCTAGCACTTTGGGAGGCCAAGGCAGGTGGATCACAAGGTCAGGAGTTCGAGACCAGCCTGGCCAATATGGTAAAACTCTGTCTCTACTAAAAATACAAAAATTAGCCGGGCATGGTGGCATGCATCTGTAGTCTCAGCTACTCAGGAGGCTGAGGCAGGAGAATCGCTTGAGCCTGGGAGGCGGAGGTTGCAGTGAGCCGAGATCATGCCACTTCACTCCAGCCAGGGAGACAGAGCGAGACTTTGTCTCAAAAAAAAAAAAATCTGTTATTAGCAATAAAATGTTTTACTATTTTTTAGCACCAGCCACTATATCAGTTGCTTCATGTACACTTCTTTAATTCTCAGAACAACCTTATAAGGAAGATATCATGAACACTATTTTAAGATGAAGAAACTCAAGACTGGGAGGTTAACTTGCTCAGTGTCACAGAGCTGTGTAAGTAGCCGAATCAGGATTCGAATTCAGATCATTTATTATTGTTTTCATATTACTTCAAAAGCCATTTGCTTTATGCAATATTTGTCTACCTCTGCATCCCCCCAGCTAATTGGCTCCTTGCACAGTTAACATGTCATGGGTGAGGGTGCAGTCCAGCAGGTCTAGACAGAATAACACACATGGCTTCATGTGTGCCTTTAGGACAGCGCTCTATAGACAGTGGCTTCTTGTCCCCCAGGCACCACTACCACCTTTCCCCTTCCTTTCAGATTAAACTTTTTATTGATTAAAGGTCTCACTCCATACACTGAAGGTGAACCCTAATGACAGGTGCATTAAAATGTCCACCGTATAGAATAAGCTCATATGAAGTACTCTGTTAACTAGAAAAGACTACAAATATCAGGCTTTGTTTTTTGTTTAATTAAATTAATTAATTTACTTATTTATTTATGAGAAGGAGTCTCTCGCTGTCCCCCAGGCTGGAGTGCAGTGGCACGATCTCTGCGCACTGCAATTTCCGCCTCCCAGGTTCAAGCAGTTCTTTGCCTCAGCCTCCCAAACAGCTGGGATTATAGGTGGCTGCCACCACGCCCAGCTAATTTTTGTATTTTTAGTAGAGACAGGGTTTCACCATCTTGGCCAGGCTGGTCTTGAACTCCTGACCTCGTGATCCACGCACCTCGGCCTCCCAAAGTGCTGGGATTATAGGCATGAGCCACCGCACCC